GTTTGCGGGGTTTTAAGCCATAATTATACCGTAATTTCCGTCTTGAAGACACATCATAACACTGAGGCACAAGCACGGTTTTTATATTTTGACTCTAATTTTCTCAAGTTTTCGAAAAACACGTGATGCACGTAACCAGAGATAAACATAGATAAAGACAAGCAGCAGTTGTCTCCTGCTCCAAAGTCAATCATGGAAAAGTGCTGAATTTTTACACCCCGGATATCACATCACTGATAAAGCGATAATGACAAAATCTAAATTTTGTCTTGCTTAAAAAAACAGTATTCTAGTAACTAATAAAGCTACAATCATATATGTAATTAAAAAAATCAAGATTTGTGTAATAGCACATAATAATTTGTTTATGACAATAACCAATAAATTATAAGCTTTACAGCTTTTCAGAAATTCTGAGAGCTTTAGCGTTACCGCCAAGCAGCACTGCGTGAAAGATGATTCTCATTGTCACTCTCGAATGTCACGTTATAGCCGGACGTAACACACTAGCGGGTAATTTAAATTTGTTATATGCATTTTAATTGTTGGAATTTGATAGGGTGGGAACTGTTAGCTCCGGATAAATTTATTTGAGTAATATAGAAATGTTATTAATATTGCCCAATAAAATTATATCGTTGACGCATTTAAAAAGAAAAGTTCATATAAACTCTTGTACTTGTACGTGCTCTTACTTTTCTGCTGCTAACTTAGAAAAAATTTTTCGATCAATTTTGTTAATTTGTTAATCAAAACAGCATATTTTCAGTATTTCATAAGGGTCTCAAGTTTTAGTAGTAAGAAGATTTACTTTTACATGCCCTTACTTTTCTGCTGCGGGCACGCAAAATTAATGTTCAATCTATTTAAAATATACCGTAGACGTCGGGTACCCCGTCGCAAAACTACCCGTTTTACCACGAGTACACGGTTCGGTGTTAAGAAAAGGCCGTTTAAACTAATAAACAACTCCTTTATTTAATCTTAATAGGGGGTAAACAATTGTTTGCCCGGTGCGTAGAACTATCGAACAAAAAAAAATTAACTGTGCGTACTCTCGATGTCAGTACAACTGTTGTACACTTAATAGAAACCATGTAGAAACATCCTGCACGTTTGAATATTGTATATCAATTAAAGGAAATACCAACTAAAAATACTACCTAACAGAAAACTTAAATCTAAAAGTCATTCAGCGTACCTAGGCGGGGGGTAAATCTTACGCCCTCTTCTCGTAACACTCACTTTCGTTTCGGGTGCTCTGCTATTAGACACTACCGGATCCGCACAATCACTGCCGTTTCCTGCAACTTCATCCGGCTGCTTGACAAATGGTAACCAGACGCCTTCCTCCTTGTGTACCCCGTCTCCTTGAGTCCCCGAAGAGTTTGCGGTACACTCTAAAGGGTATAACCGTTGTATGGGTCGCATAAGCTGACCTCGTTCAGTAAGGAGTTTAACCAGACGAACTTGTCCATCCTTTCCTGGGAATAGTTGAACCACGCGACCAAGATGCCAATGAATCCTTTTTTCTTGGTCGTTGCCTACGAGCACGATATCTGCCACTTGAACTTGTCCGCTGTTCCTTCCTGTGAACCACCATTTTAGTTGTCCTAGATATTCGCTCCGAAATCTCCTCCGAAGGTCTGCCATCAACCTTTGTCTATGTACCACCTTCCTAGATAACGAGTCAGAATTAACTACATCACAATCGGCTACTTGGCTCACTATCTGGTCTCGGAGGAACATCATTGGCGTTAGAGGAACTAGGTCTTTGGTGTCTGAGGAATTGGTAGTGAGAGGCCTTGAATTTATGACTGATTCGCAGTCACAAAGCACAGTAGCTAGGCTTTCGTAGTCCAGTGACGCACGTTCTAGCACTTTCCGTAATAATTGTTTTAAGACGCCTACTAGACGCTCCCAGAACCCACCCCACCACGCAGCCGTTGGGGGGTTAAATCGCGATTGAATGCGTTCGACGCCAAAAGTTTCCCCGATTTTTCCAAAGTCCAATCGAGCAAAAGCATTGTCCGTACCCACAAAATTAGTCCTATTGTCACTATATATTGTCTTTGGACGACCTCATCTGGCAATGAATCTTGAGCTTGTATGAAATCAGATGTGGATAATGCACTGCACAGTTCTAGATGTGCTGCTCGGTAAACCGAACACGTGAAAAGAACTATCCACACCTTTCCTCCGTCTTTGAGATGTAAAGGGCCTGCAAAGTCAACGCCCGTTATTTCAAAAGCTATCGCGTCGCGCACACGATCTTTTGGCAGTGGAGGCGGGGTCGCGTCAAACGGCTTAGAGTTATGTCTCTTGCAGACAACACAATCCTGGATAGCAGATTTCACTGCTCTCCGGCCTCCTAGTAGCCAGTACTTTTCCCGTAAAATGCTCATCAGCCCTTGAGCGCCAATGTCACATGATTTAACATGTTCTGAGAAAACTAGACGATTTACCACTGAATGTCTGGCTGGCAAAAGAATAGGGAAACGAAAATTGTGATGATCTTCCCGGTAACTTATACGGGACTTCAATCGTATTAGGCCATTATTGTCCTTGAAGGCACTCATACCGCGAAGTCTGTGGTCACTCTCACCAGTAAAGGACTCGCGTTGGATTAATTTATGAAAGAAAAACTCCGATCTTGTCATTTCCTCAGGACTCAGATTTCCCTTAAGTTTGTCTTTTTTTGTTTCTGGCATTGTGAATAAATCGAAGTATCCAAGCGCACATCCGCAAAACCTTTGGGAAGTGTGAGAAATATGCCAGATGCCAATCAGTTGAAGTCATTGCGTCAGGGTTGTTACTGATCATTGTGGTGAC